CATACCTTACCTTTCTGCTCTGATGAACGCTTGCTATGACTTCAAAATCTAAACATGAAATTGGAGAATTAAAAGTTATTTTATATATATATATATATTTACAAGTACAGCTTGAAACACTTAAAAGTCTGTCAAAAGAGACAACGTGTCTTTTCAAATGTTCTAAACTCTGGGAGTGCATTCCATAGCCTTTTGAGCAACCGAGGGGAAGGCCTCTCCTATCGGCTCCAAAGACAGATCTCTCACAGCGGGGACGTCTTCTAAAGGTCCTCTCCTGCTGATCTGAATAACGTCATAAATTCATAACGAGAGATGTGGAGCAGAATAATCAGAGCCTAAACTTTTCAGGGTTCTCAAAGCAACGCCCTAAATCGTGTCCAATGCAGGTCTTTTCCCTGCCCCAATTGGCGGCCAAGGTCCCACTACATTGTGCACTGCCTGAAATGTCTAGGTAGGCCACGTAAAAGACATTGCAGCAGTCAAGGCAGAGAGCCATCCTGGTGTAAATGATCTGATTGCCTCAGGCGCAGGCATAAGTGTATAAAATGACCCCTCGTCACAGCAAGAAATAGCTACAGCTGGGGATCAAGGAGCAGCCAGACAGCAAAGTTGATCTTTCAGAGAAATTGCAATCCCAATTAAAGGCGGGTGAACCTTAAATTCCCAAAAGTGAGTCCGCTGTTTTTCAACATCACTCCCATCTTTTGGGGGGATTTGGCTTAAGTTTATTCTCTCTCATCCAACCAGTGGTGGTATTCAAGTTTTTTTACTACCGGTTCTGTGGGCGTGGCTTGGTGGGCGTGGCAGGGGAAGGTTACTGCAAGATCCCATTCCCTCCCCACCCCACTAACCTGCTTTCCAGCTCCCTTCTCTTGTGCAGGGCAACCAAAGAAGACCCAGCCGATCAACTGGGACTCGGGAGGCAGAGAATAGATGGGGGCTGGGCCAGTCAGAGATGGTATTTGCCAGTTCTCCAAACTACTCAAAATTCCCGCTACCGGTTCTCCAGAACTGGTCAGAACCTGCTGAATACTCTCTCTGCATCCAGCCCATCAGTGAATTTAAGCAGATCATAAAGATACCACTTACTTCCCTGGTCTTTGCTGGAGATAGACCTGGTTATCATCATCATGCGTATGTTACCCTTCTCCAAACTGTAGGACAACTTGATTTTACACAGATTCTGATCAATGTGCTGGGCAAAATGGAGTCCTGTGGGCAGCCTTGGTACTGAATATCCCTTCATGTATCGATCTTGACCCTATTCCCTTCCCTGATGTCACTGTGTTTCACCCTATCGCCTCCCATCCACTGGAGGAAAGAAAAATGAAATTAATTGCAGCATAAAACCAGAGGTGGGGAAAAGGAACAAAACCGAAACTGCACAGCCTTACAACAAAGGCAGAACTTTTTATGCCATCACCTAGATAGGGTAGCAAATTCCAGACACAGAAGCTTCAGGTTGCATTAAGCTGGACCAAATGTAATAGCAATAGCACTTAAATTTATATACTGCTTCATAGTGTGGCACAGCATTCTCTAAGCGGTTTACAGAGTCAGCATATTGCCCCCAACAATCTGCATCCTCATATTTACCGACCTCGGAAGGCTGAGTCACAATCAAACTCCTGACCATGGGCAGAGTTAACCTGCAATACTGCATTCTAATAATCACTGTACCACCGCAGTTCAGGCTTACGTTAGTCTAAGTATAATTTATACTCAAGCTGTATATGAAAAGGTGACCATCCTTAGTGGATAGTTAAACAACTGTTGCAGCCTCAGCCCACTGATAAATCACTGTTAATATGTTCCATTTGTGAAATATGACTTGCCTTCCAAACAGTTCTTCATTACATCAGAAAAATAGTTATTCTTCTTAATTCCATACATTTGCTCTTTTTGTATCTTATCCAACTAAGATAACTAAGGGGTCAAACTATTTTCTAAAGCTATTTTTTTAAAAGCGCCTCTAGGCCAGACAAGGAATAATGGATGGAAACTGAACCAGGAGAGATTTAACCTGGAAATAAGGAGAAACTTTCTGACAGTGAGAACAATCAACCCATGGAACAGAAGTTGCCCTCGGAAGTTGTGGGAGCACCATCACTTGAGACTTTCAAGAAGAGATTGGACTGCCATTTGTCAGAAATGGTGTAGGGTCTCCCGCTTGGGCGGGGGGTTGGACTAGATGACCTATAAGGTCCCTTCCAACTCTGATTATCTGTTATCTGTTGCCTCATATTGCATAAATATGTTTCTTATTGAATTCACAACAAGCAATACACTAAAGAGTTGCATCTCCTAGAATAAGTGTAAAAATGTGTGATCAGAACGTTTCGGCTAGTGCTTCTAATTTTCTTTTGTCCTTGGGTAGAAGAAAAAAAGGATGTTGATGTTCCAATTAGCTGGATGAGGAAATAAATGTTGATGGCCGTAATTGCTTTGGAAAATAATTTTTCTTTCAAGTTCTTCAGATTAAGTGGTTAGTTTCTCGTTTGTTTTTCTTTGCCCCCCCCCCCCTAAAATAAGCGGCAGTTCCGTTTATAATTTTCACAGCTTGATTCGGCATGAATTTTCTCAGAAAACTAGAGAGGGGCTTTCTTGGAATAACAAAAGTAAGAAATGTTGCCTGCTATTTTGTAAATTATAAGCTTCCTACTTAAATTGTTGCTATTCATTGTTTAATTCTTTAGATTTACAGTATAGTAATTGCATAAATCCATAAAATTGAATATGGTCAGTTTTTTTCACTAACTAAAAGCTTTTAATTATGTTGCAGTTTAATCCTGCATCATTCTAATAATGTGTGCGTTTATATCACAACAGATATTTATTTTAATCATGGATAGAGTTCTATTCAAATACGTAGTCTTCTACAATGATTTTCAGGGAATTCAAACCATTCAGCTCCAGTAATCATTAATGTGGCATAATTGAAGAATATCACGAAAGAGCATTTTGTAATATCGGTGAAATTATTTACCTAACAACCATCTGTGTTATTTGTTTAGAATTAGTGCATGTAATCCCTAATGCTTAACAGAGGAATTGCATGGGTGGGAAGTCAACAAACTGGTCAAAAGACCAGATTTTCTCAGCCTTTGTCTCAACTAAATGGCATTTTTCTACGAGAGATACTCCAGACGTGGTTCTGTTTATCTCACTATAATATTTTCACATTTAAATATGGCTTTGTGGAAGGAACATTTGGGATGTTCAGGTAAACAGCCTTCAAGAGAAAGTGAGTGATTCCTCTAGCTTTGAAAGAGGTGAGGCTTTGCTTTCTCTCCAAGAGGCATCACAGGACCTAACCATCCTGAATTATTTTTGTCCAGGTTCCAACCTTCCCTTTTGGAGGAAGGAACAGAGTTCAACCCTGGACACTGTATAGCACTGATTCCACTGGTATACTCATTGATTGAAGAGACCCTCCTTATGTGCACTCATGCCTCATTTTACCTCAGTAGCAGTGGTGGGATTCAACCAGTTCGCACCTATTCACGAGAACCGGTTGTTAAACTTTCTGAGCAGTTCAGAGAACTGGTTGTTGGAAGAAATCTCCTTTTGTTTTTTTCCTGTTTACAGGGCTAATCCTGTAAGGAAGGGAGGAAGGAGACATCCTGCTGTTGTTTCTAGCCTAATCTTTATTGCCCTGTTTAGAGAAACTGCTCTGGTTAACCCTTAAAGCAGCTAAAGGTTCTTGGCAGCACGCCCAGACTTACTGTCGCCTGAGCTCCAGATGTTTTTTTTTTCTTTGCTGGTACTTTGCTGGGGCTTGACTTTCTTAAAAGGGAAGGGTTGTTTTAAGCTTTTTACACTGCTGTTGGGAGGAGATACTCCCCTGTTGGAGTTATTCCAGCTGGGATGCAATGATCAGCACTTTGAAGAAAAAATTGAATAACAAAGCAAAACAAAGCTGCCAGAAAGAAGCTTTTAATGACAAGGAACCAAGATGAGTGACAGTCAGATGTCAAGTTGGCCATGCCCATCCAGTCACATGACCACCCGGCCACGCCTACCCAGCTGGTCATTAGGGCAGAGAACCGGTTGTTAAATTATTTGAATCCCACCACTGCTCAGTAGACAAATCCAGGAGACAAAATGGCGTTTAACTCATATTTAAATTTAATTTCATATCTTCGATCTGCCCCAATGAATTCACTCGGCTGCCATTAAGTTCTCAATAAATGATTGATTTTCTCTTTCTATCACTTTAAAAGGTTTAAAAAATTTCCTCCAGCCTTGGAGAGTCCATTCATTTTTTTTTTTTTTTTTTGTAGAGGCAGGGGATATTACACATGGCCCACGATCTTCAGGTTGTATCCTGTTATTTAATGTATGAAGAAATCTGAATCCCTTTGTCAAAGCCAGTAGCACTAGTAATAGCACTTAGACTTATATACCGCTTTATGGTGCTTTACAGCCCTCTCTAAGCAGTTTACAGAGTCAGCCTCTTGCTCCCAACAATCTTGGTCCTAATTTTACCCACCTTGGAAGGATGGAAGGCTGAGTCAACTTTGAGCCAGTGACAATTGAACTGCTAGTGGTGAGCAGAATTAGCCTGCAATACTGCATTCTAACCACTGCACCACCGTGGCTCTTGTAAGTAGAGGTAATCCTTGACTTACATCTGGTTGCTTAGAACAGTGGCCCCCCAACTTTTGGGGCACCAGGGACCACTTCCATGGAGAGAGGTTTTTCCGTGGACTGGAGGGCGTGTGATTTTTGTATGCAGCCTGCATACAAAATCAACTGGTTCTATAGAACCGGTCCAAACCGGTAGAATCCCACCCCTGCCTGCGGGCCAAATCCGGTCTGCAGGATGCTTAGATCTGGCCCGCTGGGCCACCCTGGAAACCATGAAGGACTGGCCTGCGGTGCCTCTGCTAGTAAAAATGGAGGTTGGGAAGACCTCTGGCAGAGCACTGCAGCAGGAGGCCGGTCAATAATGGGGCCCGGGAGGGCTGCATGTGACACCCTTGAGCTCCGTTTTCACTAGCAAAGGGGTGCAGGAGGCCGTTGTGGGTAAAACAGAGTTTGGGAGCCCGTTTCTGCTGGTAGACTGTGCGGGCCCCCACAGGCGCCCCTGACACGAGTCACATCAAGCTGGCCATGCTTACCCTGGCCACGCCCCCGCTCCCGAGGTCAAACACAACCCTAATTCAGCCCTTAATAAAACCGAGGTTGACACCCCTGATTTAGATTGATACCAGAGACCCCTTTTAAATCACTATCACTTAGAGACTAATTTTTCCGCAATACAAATAAGAGAAAAAATATGAATTAATTCACCTCAAATTGAAAGCACAGTTTAAACATCTATTGAGAACATAACCTCTCTGACGCATTTTTTTTAAAATAACAACAGGGGAATTAATTAAATGATATATAAGCTATAGGGGTGGCACACTCAAATTAGTAATTGTGGGGGAAACTTTTTTGAAATGTTTGAATTGAAATAGAATTTGTGAAATGATGAAATAAGAACATGCGATGAAATTGCAAACCTGACAGATAAAAGTATAAAAGTACAATGAATATGAAGATAAGAGAGTTATTTAAAGTTTAAGGAAATAGATTAAGGAATGTATTGGAAAATTTATAGAATAAGCTGGAGGAAAGTATTTGAGAAAAATAATGGAAAATATGTAAAGTAAGGGTAAGATATGCAATTAAATGTGAAAGATGAGTACGTAATTATAGTCATGTTTGTATATGGAAATGTGAAAACCTGGAATCATGCTGTTCGCTAAAAAAAGATGTTTTTAAATGTGGAAAACTCAAATAAAATTTTATTTAAAAAAACAACAGGGCCCTATCCTTCAATTTCCTGGAGGAAAACAACTTCCTATTTGTCCAGATGTTTATTAGTTATCATGTTCACTTTCAAAAATGTAATGTATTTAATTTTAACTACTAGGGGTGATTTTATTGTTTTAGGCCTCTTATAAACCATTGATGAAGCAAGTGGTGGAAGAGATTTACAATCCCGATCGACCTGATCCTGTTGATATTGAACACATGTCTTCTGGGCTGACAGATCTTCTGAAAACAGGATTCAGCATGTTTATGAAGGTAAGGCAATCATATGACTGATCACAATGCCATCCGATTAAAATTTTATTGCAGAATTTTATTATAAGCAGATAACGCCATTTATTCCCCCCTACTTATTTCCTATCTGAAATGTTTATACCTTTTGGGGTGACATTCCAAGAAGATCAGTGGTAGCATATGTAACACTAGTGGGGTACCCGTGCTTCACTACGAAACTATGTGATCGGGTAAGGTTTTGGGGAGGAAAATAAGGGGGGGAAATTTTGCCGTTGTCTTCCAGCATCCATCGGTATTCATCTGGCTAGTGTCCTGTCAGCGTGTGAGAGAGTTGAGGGCTGTTTGGAAATTGAAACAGTATTTGCTGTGTGAGCAAGAAGGAGACAGCAAGGAGCCTGGGAGTGGCTTAGCTGAACTGAAATTGGAAGAGATTTCTTTTCAGGTGCGGAGAGGGAGTAGAACTCCTTAGCATCAGAGTGTGTTAATAATAATGTACAAAATACTAATGTTGTGATGGTCATTTTGAAAAATCTTTTCTTAGTGAGCACCTAGAAGAGGAACATACGTGCCAAATTTCAAGTTTGTAGGCTTTACGGTTCTGGAGATTCTGTGATGACAAATGAGTGCTTTTTCACTTTTATATATATAGATTAACAGATGATGATCAATGATAGGGATTAATTGATGGCCCAACTTCTATCCCTGTTACGTGGCAGTTGTTTATCTGTCCCATTAATTGATAGAATCACAATGGTCTGTTGGGTATGTTGAGAAATAGAAAAATCTCATTATTAATCATGGCAGTGGTGCAGTGGTTAGAATGTGGTACTGCCGACTACTTCTGCTGACTGCCAGCTGACTGCAATTTGGCAATTTGAATCTCACCAGGCTCAAGATTGACTCAGCCTTCCATCCTTCTGAGGTCGGCAAAATGAGGATCCAGATTGGGGTTTTTTTTAAAACAAATTTTATTCAATTTTTCACATAAAAACAAAAAGCTCTTTTAGTGGACAACATATTTCCGGGTCATCACTTTTACATACAAATATGACAATAGTTATACATTCATATATGCATACTTAATTCTACTATTACCTTTTCCATTTCAAACTTTCCGAAAGGAGAGAAACAAGCAATTTAATCCTAGTCTCTTACATTAATCTCAATCAAAACATCTTTTTGTTCCATTGCAATTATTTCAAATATAATCCTTTAATATTTATTTTAAAAATAAAAGTAACAATATATGTTTGCCTAATAAAAAAAAGTTACCAATGTCTCTCCTTCCTTTTAATAGTCTGTATTAGCTTATTAATTTAAGTAGTTCTTTAATCTGTCATATTTGCTTTTCATCACACATTCTTTCTATAAATTTTAGGTTAATACAAGTTTTAACACACACACACACAAAGAAACAAGTATAGGTTTCCCCCTTTTACTGCTTTGAGTGCGACACCTCAGTGGTTAAAATATACCTTTATTCCCTCATCTTAATTCCCAATAAACCATTATTTTTAAGTAGTTACAATAATAATCATTACATCTTTTCATTTGGATTCCGCAACATATTTTCCCCCCTTAATTTTATTTCTAATTTCAAAGGAAGTAAAAGGGAAAAAAATTGACTATTCAATTTCTGGTAACTGATATTAACCTCATTTTTAAACATCTTCACATCCATTTCAATTATTACAATTTCTTCAATAAACCTTAACTTTTCTTTTGACAATAAAAATAAAGATATATATTCATCTAATAAAAGTTATCAATATCTATCCCTCCTTTAATAATCTATGTTACCCTATTTTCTAAGTATTTTTTTAAATTGCAAATATATTCTTGTTACCCCTTGTCATCCTGCAGAATCCCCTTTTTAACTCGTCAACCATTATCTCTGAAGAAACTATTTCTTTTCATCATTTTATTATTTCCATAATTCTTTATTTCATGCACCTGTTTCTTACTGCCTCTCCTCCCCCCCTTTTTCCCATATCTTTTCTCATTCTGGTTTATATCCCTCTCTTTCTTGATATCTTCCTTTCCCCTTTTCTGCTGGATCTTTCTACCTTCTACCTTTCTACCTTCACGGGTATTCCCTTTTTTGATTACCTTCTTAAATCTCAACTTTTTAACCTTCCTTCTTTCCCCTCGTCTTTGTAGTGTTCTTTATGTTAATTGTCTATTTAAAATGTCTTCTCCTTGAATCGACTCCTCCTCCTCTAAAGTTCTTTCTTCTTGTTCTTCAATCACCATTTCCATTTCTTCTAACACAGAGCAAAGTGATTCCTGTTGTACTTCTCTCTTATTTTTAAGTTCCATTTTTAATTCGCAAAGAGATATCATCATTACACACTCTTATATTTTATAATAGTTAAAGTCCACAAAAAACACTTTTACTTTCCTTCTTTCTTCTTCCAGTTTTCTAAAGTTCTCAGTTGTTCCAGCCCAGGGTCTATACCAAAAACGTCAATCAATCCCACAATCAGTCTTTCCTTGCTTCTTTCTTTATTCTGGTTCAGCTTTCACTTTCTAAGATTCTTACTTTGTTTCAATATTTCTTTAACGTTATATCAACACAAGTTCATACAGAAACAGGATGCTTTCCCTTTTGTTTGAATTCAAGTTTTTGTCAGAAGATGGCACTCTCCATTATACAAACTTCTCACTTTTTTCCCCTATTTTTTTATTTAGGGTTTTTCAAACCTCAATATTCCAGCACAATCCAGTCTCCAATTTGTAAATTTTATTATTATTATTTGACAATCTTAAGTCCAGCTTTATTTTATGCGTGTTTATTGCCAAAATATTTTAGTCCAATTTAATTAAGTCTTTAGTTCCGGCTTCTTCCTTTCCCGGTTCGAAGCCCTGCTTAGCTGTCAAAATTATTTTCTTATTTTTTTCCTGTCCCTTTGTATTTCCGCCGCTCACTTTTCTTTTCTTAAAAGTTCAATGTTACCTTAATCCCGGGGTACTTTTTGTTTAGTTGTTTCATCCAATTGTCCCGGTTCAGATGTTATCCACCTCTTTCTTCCCTCCTGCACAAATCTTAATCCAGCTGAGGTGACTTCGGGGTGGCCATTGTAGACCATCGCTTCAGTCGTCTTCGGGGGGGGGGAGACCAAGCCCAGGAGGGGAGATGCGGCTCCCCTCAACCTGGCTTGTGGCTTCCCCTTACTCCACCGCCCCTCCAAGGCAGCTTCAGCCCCTAATCGCAATGATCGGGGCTCTCCGATGAAAGAGGACAGACCATAGCCACGGACAGTCGCGATCTACAGTCTGTCAGCGAGGAGGACTCAACCCGGAAGTTGAGGATCCAGATTGTTGTGGGGGCAATAGGCCGATTCTGTAAACTGCTTAGAGAGGGCTGTAAAGCACTATAAAGTGGTGTATAAGTCTAAGTGCTATTGCTATTTCTATTATGGGAATTAAATGTCCACTCCATTATGCCTTAGTGTTTTTCATCTCACCTGAGTTCCTGGAAGAAAAATAAGACACAAATCTAACAACAAAATACGTAAATAATAATGACCTTATATATTCACAACTCCAAATTTTAATTAACCTAATTTCACTGTTTTGTACCAAAAAAAGTATTTTTTTCTGGCTTTAAAAATAATCTGCCATTTCCCCACATCATAAATATGAAGCCTCTTAAGAGCTCATCTGTAGGAAGAATCATAAGAAATCCCTCCTTTTATTTCCATGCCCCCCCCACCCCCGAGAAGGCAAAGAAAAACCAAGAAGCTAAAACAGTCCCTGCCTTCCCAGCCAGAATGGCCTCATGTAACCCCTGTTAGAAGCCTGAGACAGGCTGAATTGACAGGTTTAATTCAAAACCCCCACAGAATTCACATTATCCACCTTTCCCCAAGGCTAGCCTTCATCCTGATTACAAGCCAGAAAACCAGATAGGGACAACTGGAATATAGAAAGGCGCATTATTAATCTAATCAAATAACGCCACCAGGCATCTCAGTAAAAGTCCAGCAGGGTCTCTACTCTACTCCCTCTGCCTTCGTGTCAGCTGTCCCAGAACTGATGCTTGAGTCACTTGAAAGATTCTTAAATAAGTGGAGACCTCCTTTCCTGCAGCTTGCCTCCAAATTCATTCCTCCTGCGTCTTTTTCCCACCTGGGAACTGGACCGGATTTTACTTCCAACAGATCCATAGTGTCATTAAACTGCTTTCTGCAATTTACAGATGGCAGTAGGTAGTTTTCTCCTTGCCGTCAAATGAGAGAAAGCCTTCATTTCCCAAGTACTAAATCTTTCCATGAATATTTACTATTACTACACTAATATTTGCTCATATCAAAAGACAAGAATATTTATTTTAAAAAAAACAACACCAAGGAAATGTCAAGGTACCTCTGCATGGTTTGTGATCTAGTTTGTTTTTTTTAATCAAAAGATTGGGGAACGTATGTTATTTACAATATGGTATCATGAATTTCTGAGCCTTTTGCACTAGAAAAAGAAAAAAGGTTCTTATTGCATTTGCTACACTGACCTCCACGTATATTTCCCAAATATAAATGTGTAGTTTTTTTCTGTTGTTATGTTTGCCACCATTCAAGTTGAACGTGGATGTGAAAAGTTGGACAGACCTGTCAAAATGTGAAAAGCATTCCTTGTTCTTTTTCCAAATCTGACAGGGTGGAGATAAAGAAAGATAGTGTTGAAAGGTTCTTCTGTCTTTTTCCTTCTCCCCTGCTTCCCCTCTAACCCCCCAAACCAGGACAAAGTTGGTACCCATGCATTTCATGCATGTCACAAAAAAATATCCCTGGCACCACAGATCACTTTATGACCTGCCATGGTGAAAGAAACCGCAGTCTATTTAAAGCAATGAATATTTTAAGCAACTCTCATATGTATGAAAAAGATTTAAGATTTTAAGGACAGGCACCGGGGGCAATGAATTGTACGATGAATTAAAAGCAGTAATGGCTTTGTTTAAAAGCCTTCTCAAAATAGCTTTCCTGAGCAGGGGAAAACAAATCAACTAGAAACGAGACATT